AAGAGGGAGGGAGGGAGGGAGGGAGGGAGGGAGGGAGGGAGGGAGAGAGAGAGAGAGAGAGAGAGAGAGAGAGAGAGAGAGAGAGAGAGAGGCAAAAAATAAAACTGAGATGAAACCAAATTAAAAATATGTTTGATATTACAGCTAAGAAGGAAAGTGTTTGTTGAAGAATCTAGTATCCCAGTCATTCATGTATAAAACATTTTGTAAGCTACTAGGAGTGTATAAAATTTCATAGAAAGATTATGGAATGAGGGGCAAAAAAAAGATGGTTCACAAGAATGATCTTTGGGGACTCCGATTGTTCAGTAGAGGAAGAAAATGTGTACAGGGTAAAGGAACACAGTGTGTCTTATAATATATCCTGTAGTAGAGAAGCCCAAGGGAAAGCCTTTTAAATTGAAAGTACTCAAGAGAATCTACAGATGCATGAGTTACTAGCATGTATAGACAGTTAAATTCAGAGAGATAGACAGGTTAAGTTCTTGGAGAATTTGGTATTGTGTTAGAAGGATTTGGGGAAAAAATTAAGACTTATCTTTAAGTGGGCTTTACAAAATTATCAAGTTACTTAAACTCAGAGAAGCTTGGTTTTCTCAATGAAGCTTTTCATTTTTAATTTCCATAAATTAAAACCTAAAATCTATAAATATGGTTAAAAAATTACTATCAGGTGAAGAAGTAGCCTTAGGCAATGACATCCAGCATAATATTTTAAAGAAATCATGTTCCTTGGGGCAGGAGAGATGGCTCAGTACATAAGAGCATTAGCTAATTTTCCAAAGGACCTGGGTTCAATTCCAAGGACCCACATGGCAGCTCATGATAGTCTGTAACTACAGTCTCAGGATATCCAGCATCATCTTCTAATCTCTTAGAGCACCATGTACAGATGTAGTACACAGACACACATGCAGACAAAACACCCATACACATAGAAGAAAGAGAAAACAAAAAGAGTGTCAAGGGAGTGCCACCTTGTGCAGGAAGCAATAAAACCCTGAGTAAAGTTAACCTCTGCCATCTGGTCCTGCATCACTGCTGAATTTTCTTTCCTTCAGGAGTTAACAAAAAAGCTGAAGCACTTTACAAAAATGGAAAACGTAGGCAGGAGACAAATTGTTCAATCTCAGAATGATAGTATAAATGCCATTTTGAGGTAGTGTGCCAAAACTGAAGGTTGAAAGTTAAGACAGGACCAAGGGGGTAGGATGTCGTTGTCAGTCACACATCCACACGCATCTCCACGCCTTGTGCCGTTCATCAGGAACTTGAAGCCTTCATGGAGTTTGTGATTGACAGAAGCTCTGGTAGTCACACCCCTGTCCCACCACTGACTTCCTTGTGACTGAGTCAAGTATCATTTGTGTCTGTAAATCTGAAGATAACGTATTTTTTAAACTCTAATGAAGCTCAAATCAGTCTATATACATGTGCTTATCATAACCCTCAATACACAAGGGTCCCTAAACTTTTTTTAATATCATCTTAACAATAAAACATAGCAAACCTTCACAGAAATGCACTGATCATATTCTTGACATGTACTTAGATAAATTATTCTCAAAATATCCAAGTGAATCCGAAAGTGAACAACAGACTCTTATGGACTATTCTTTAGATTGATATTCTCTAGATTCTAGGCTATTCTCTAGATATTCTCTAGACCGTAGACTATTCTCTAGATTCTAGATTGATATGCTAAGTGAAACAAGTTGACGTAAAGTTAGTTAATAGCTGAGAGACCAAAGATCAGTCTGAACTGGACTTGGTGGAGTCTTTAGCTAACAAGGAAGGAACATGTGATCGGCGAATGGACAGGTGTGGTACCTACTAGAGAAATGCAACCAAAGGCAAAACAATGACAACCGAATGAAATGCGGAAAGAAGTTGTCAACTAATAAATTATCACCTAGACACAAAGAAATGTTCCAGCTGGGACAATTTTACTATACTTTTTCTATAATTATTAACGGCTGTTGGCTGAAAACTCTTTGACCTTGTTTTACTGTGAAAACAAAGGCAGAAAGATTAAGTACTTTTCTGTAACTGTACAATGTTTAGAGAAGAAAGCATAAATTTGCTTAAGGTAGCCATGGAGCTAGTTGCATAATCCTCATGACCCAGGACACCCTCATTCTCTGGGGTACCAACCACAGCTACGGTGTACTTTAGAACTCTGAACTTCATTCACTGATGGTGCTCTTCTGTCCTAGACGTTTGGTATCAGGTATAATTTTTGATGAAATAACAATGCCAGGATAAAACCAGATGGATCCCTTCACATCCTTTAAATCTTGAGTCTCTGAAACATTTTACTCACCAAAGTCACACTACAAATTACATCTCTTTACTTTCATATTCTACCATTTTCCAAACCCTCACAGGAGATGTAGAAATTAGAATCAATCTCCATCTTCCTTTTTCTGTTTAAGAAAAACTTATTTTTAAAAGTAGAGAAAGAAACAAAGAAAAATAACACCAGGGGCTGGAGAGATGGCTCAGTGGATAAGAAGCATAGGCTGCTCTTCCAGAGGACCCAGGTTCAACTGTTAGCCCTCTCATGGTGGGCACAACTGTCTGTAACTGTAGTTCCACGGGATCCAATGCCTCTTTTTGGTCTTCTTAGATACCAAGAACACAAGTGGTAAACAAACGTGCATGCATGCAAAACACTCATAAACAAACAAAAAGAAAAAGAAAGAAGGAATTAGGAAATAGAGGTAAGTTTCATTCACTCTCCCACCTGCTGAACCCCTACTTTTGGACAAGGTGCTCTGTTAGGCACATAGGACACTGAAATAGTAAAGCAGAGACCTGCCCTGTGGAGGTTCTCAGTCACTTAAGGAAACAGAAGGGCAGTCATTTCACAGCCTTGAGACAAGTGAAATAAAAATGGTGACAGTGGGATTGACTGACATCTTCCTTGAAGCTGATTGAGAAAATGCTCATGAACAAAGTTATTCAAACTGAATTAGGACAGAAGAACTGGATTTGCCAGGATATAGGAAAGGATGAGGCAGATTCACTAGTTGTAAGTTGTTAGTTATGGACTGAGATGGAATGAAATGAAGTATGATTAGGGATCAGAGGCTAAACTATAGAGTTTTTACATTTCGTAAGAAGAGGATTTAGCTTTATCCTCAATGGTAAAATATATCATTTGAAAGATACAATTCTATGAAGCAAATAATTTTGAATTACTACTTTTAATTTCCCTATAGTGTGAAGATTGTAGAGGTAAAGAATAGAAGCAGAATTCCCAGCAAGGTCATGTCATTGGTTCAGGTGGGGAATGAATTTAAAAGTGAAATTAAAAAGGAAGGACATAACTCATCCTAGATATGGTAGAGAAGGTCTATTGTAGATAAAAGGGAGAGCATAAGAGGCAAGGACATCTGAGAGGGTTCAGAGCAGCATCATGTGACAATGGGGCTGTGGACAAGAACCAGACCAAGCTAGGAGGGCAGAGCAAAGATGGAAGGGCTAGGGAACCAACATAGCTGGATAATATACACAAAGGCATCTGGGGGAAGAGCAGCTCAGTTTTTGCGTTAGATGAGTTTAGAGTATTGGGTAGGGTATGCCAGCCATACCCTGTAATAGGTGGGGCCTGAGGGAAGATGTAAGAATCTAACAGCCAGGTCCACTTTGATGTAAGTAGGCACCCAGCCATTTGTTCTCTAATGAGGATGATTGGAAGAATAGCAACGGAAGTGGGGGAGTGAAGGCACACTTAGGAAATATTTGAGATAAGACAATCAACTAAATATATAGAGTGAGACCAGTGGAAGAGTGGGACAAACTACAGACAAATTTAGTTTTTATTCTCTGGTTAATTGGTGTCAAAAATCACCTGCAGTAGAAATATAGAGGAATATAAAGGGCAAGATAAATATGAATTTCCAATAGGCTACTACATTAGTGTTATCCAATAAATATTTAGATATAACTATGCATCTTGAGAAATAATATCAAAATCAACACATACCCACATGCCAATAAGGCAACCAAAAATGAATAAAGTTTTATATACATTTTTCTTCCTCTAAAAGTCAGATATACTTAGGAAATGAAGATAGGATTTTAGTGACTAAAAAGTTTGTTTGTTACCCCAAACTCAACGTCCCCAAATCAATGAAAAAGTTGGCTATTGAAAAAATCAACAAGACAAACTTTTATCCAAACTAACTAAAATACTAAGAGAATATTCAAATTAGCAAAATCAGAAACAAAAAGGGGGGGCATAACAACAGAAACTGAGGGAACACAGAGAATCATAAAGACATACTTTAAAAATCTATATTCCACCAACCTGGAACATTTCTTCACAGGTGCCACTTAATAAGGTTAAATCAAGATAAGATAAACAATTAAATAGTCCTATAACCCATAAGGAAATAAAAGCAGTCATTAAAACTTTCTGCACCAAAACAAACAAACACACAAACAATAAAAACAAGTAGATCCCTAAGTTCATATGAATATGAACAAGTTCATACTCAGTATGATTGACAAAGTGAATTTTTGGCCTGCCAAGGCACATAGTGAGACTTTGTCTCAAAAAAAAAAAAAAAGGATTGCACTGGAGTATCAGAAGGCCAGGATAGGGGATGGCCCTCCCGTGTCTGCCTGCTTCCCCTTAGGGTGATGGGGGCTTTTAGAAAGAGGAAGATAACTGCTTACCAAATTAGATGGTGTGACTGTCTCTAACAGAGCAGAAGAAAAACAATCTGGGAGGGCCGAAAACTATTGAGAAGCATATTTCAAAGTCACGAGTAGAGATGGACATCATGGGAAAGATGAGGAAGATTAGCTCAAATAAGCAAACCAGTGAGAAAGCTGAACAGGCAGATCTCACAGAGACTGGAAACAGCTGAGTCACTGTTAACATTGAGTGTGCTGACCCTGAAGGAACAACAAAAGAATTCAGCCTCTAATGTGTCTCCCTGTCCCCCATGAAGCCTCAAGCAGAGTGATTCTTGAGTTTCTAGGACTTGTTTCCTTTTATATAGCAGCCATATTCACACTGCTGCTTGTCAGGCTCTGGCTATCAACTAAAGTTCTTTATTCTTTTCTTTTTGTTTATCCAACATATTCATTTGGATCATTTTATGCACCAAACATTGCTTAAAGCCCTGGAGATTCAACGTAAGCAACAATAAGTCACATTGACCTCATGTGGTTAATGACCAGCCTATCAAAAAAGGAGATATTCTAAAAAGACTCATATCTTTCAACTTCTCAGATTATTAAAACAATAGATCTTAAAGTAGGTTGAAATTTTCCAGGAATCTCATGCTGAGAGAAATAAAAAGGCACCATGCAGAGGGAGTCTTGTCTCCAGAAAGAGACTCTGAAAAGTTTTATCAACTTGTGAAAACATCATAAAGGATTGATTGAAGTCTAAACAATGATAGGCCAGTGGTGGGCAGGGCCAAGCCCTGGCTGGGACTGCTTAGGTGAATATATCCTTAGCCCTCTAATAAAGTTTAATTTCACTTTAGGACCTCCAAAGTCAGACTTTGGGGTGTGACTGGATATCTTTGTCTCTCTTCCCTCTGTGGCCACTTTAAATAATTTCTTTCTCTTTTCTTTTTTTTTTGTGATTTGGTATATCCTTTTTTTATAATTTATTTTTTTTCAAATCATAATTCATTCACACAGGGATTATAAACACAGAAAGGAAGGATGTGTGGAAGGGGATGACACTGGAGTGTGGGTGTTCAGGGGGAATACAGATAACTTTCAGCACATGATATCGGCTGGGTGAAGGTTCGGGGGACAGGTCACTATGACTCTGCCTATCATTCACTTGTCCTTATCTAAGTTGATATTATCTGCCAAAGCTACCTATTTACAAGGTCTATGACTACTCAGACTGGTAAATTTCCATGAAAGCTGCCTGTTTACAATAGTGTATAGCCATCTGTTTCAATGTTTTTCCACTGAGACCCAACACTTGGTGTTAGTATACATGTATGACAGTCCTATTGCTGATTTTAGGCCTATGGCTGATTTTAGGCCTACAGAGTATAAGCAGGCCTGCCCCTGACATCGCCTCCCTTCTCTAAGTATAGAAGGGCTGTGGCAATTCTAATCTTTTGAAGACAGGGATAGGCCTGACCTCCAGTAATTGAAAGGGACCTTGTAGTGGCTCTGGTCTCCCTGTTGTAGTCCAGCGAGGCATGAGGGCCATACCTGTCCCTATGTCTTTTTCCTGGAGAGGGGATACTTTTGACATCAATCCCTATGCAGTCAGGCTTGTCCCTCAGGGAACCCAGAGAGATATTTTTAACTTTTATTTATATTTCCTTGCAGTGCTTGGTCTTGCAGCCTAAGCAAGAATTCAGATCACAAGTCAAAGGGGGTTCTGGTTGGCCCCTCTCTGCTTGGTCTAGGGGCAGAAGTCCCCCCTTTTAGGTTGGGTGGAGATGGGTTTTGGGAACACCCTGTATAAAGTAACAACCTCATCTTGAGTCCCGTGGTCCTCCATAGCTAACTTATGATTATGTATCTGAGAAGGTTTTGCTACCAAATTATTTATTTGTTGTTTCACAGAGTTAGTCAGAGGCCCAGGGACCAGAAGAAATAAGCAAAAATAACCCAAATAATGGTCCCAAGATGGGGGGAAGTAGGGTTGACAACCATGGAGAGGCTGAAAACCAATTCTTGTACCAGCATTCATCTGTCTCTTTCTCTCTCTGACTTTTCTCAGGGCCTTCTCTGACCTATTTCATGCTCTCTTTAACCCTCCCTGTCTTGTCTATGTAAAGGCAACATTCTTCTTTAAGGGCTGTACACAATCAGGAGCTGTACACAGCCTTTTCTATTGTAATAAAGTAAATCAAGTCCAATAAGGATCTTTTTGAGTTTTGGAGGTCTCTTCAGACAGTGAAACGAGTGATTTCTTCAGATTACTGATGTCAATCTCTAGCTGTTTGATGTTCTTGTCAATGGTCCTTCAAAGGTTTGAGTAGTATAAATTCGGAGGCCAGCGTCTGGATTAGAACTTCTAACAGCAGACATCACAGGTGATTCATTTTTACCTGGAAAGGAAAAAGAAGGGAATTCTCAGGAAGATTTCTCTTCCCTGGATGTCAATTGTTATTCATCTTATTTATGGTTGGGCCTGGCTTTGTGGGGTATCTATTTATTTCATTAATCTTTTTGGTAGCCGGTTAGCTGTGCCTTCTGTGGTATCAAACAGGCATATCAATCCTTGGCCCCATAAGGGAACTGGGTCTGGGCCATTCCCTTTAAGGGTAAGAGGGTCCTTTCCCATATCTGTGACATAGTTTTTATTGGTCTCAGTGATGCCAAAGGCAGTCAGCAGCAGATTTGCCACGCACTTTCAGTTTTAGAGAGTTAAAAGTGAACAAGGCATAATGGAGAGTATTTCTGGGGGACTCCTTCTGGGGGGGGGTACCATTCTCCCTCTTTTTTTTTTAAAGTCAATTTTTCAGAGTTCTTATAAAATCAGGGCAGAAGCGCCTACAGTGTTCCTTCCACACTCAGAGAGTCATGAAGACACTATTTAAAGAAATATAAATCTATATTAAAAATCTCTTTTATCAAAGGACTGTTATAGCACAGCCAACTACTAATCAGACTATATAATATATTGATTAGTAATAGCTTCTTCTACTTTTTGTGAGATTACTTCTCTTTTGCCAATTAATTGTTGAGGGAAAGCAGGATTTACATCTCTCTTGAGAATATTAAGCAGAGACTTAAATTCTTTTGTGGAGAGCTTAAAATAAGATCTTAGCCAATTAGCATCTCCTAGAAACTTTTGAAAATAATTTGAAATAAGTAAACTCTCTCTTTTTTTCCCAGACCCTTTATCTGTTTTTTTTATTGGATATTTTACGTATTTACCTTTCAATGTTATCTCCTCTCCGATTCTCCCCCAAAACCCCTTATCCCATAGCCCTCCTCCTATTTTTATGAACGTATGCTCCAAACATCCTCCCAGTCCCATCTCCCTGCTCTCCAATTCCCCAACACTAGGGGATCCAAACTTTCAGGACCATGTCCCTCCACTTCCACAGATGTCTGACAAGGCCACCCTCAATTACCTGTACAGGTGGAGACATGAGTCCCTCCCTTTCTGCTCTCAGGCTGGAGGTTTAGACTTTGGGAGATCTGGTTGAAACTTTCGATACTCCCTCTAGAAAGGTTCAAAGCACTCACACTTTGGTCTTCCTTCTTCTTCTTGAGGTTCATGTAGTCTATACGTTGTGTCTTAGGTATTGTGAGCTTTTGGGCTAATATCCACTTATCAGTGAGTGCATACCATGTATGTTCTTTTGAGATTGGCTCACCTCACTTAAGATGATATTTTCTAGCTCCATCCATTTGCCTAAGAATTTCATGAACTCATTGTTTTTAATAGCTGAGTAGTACTCCATTGTATAAATGTACCACATTTTCTGCATCCATTCTTCTGTTGAAGGGCATCTGGGTTCTTTCCAACTTCTGGCTGTTATAAATAAGGCTGCTTTAAATAATTTCTTTAAAGCTGTGCATTACTAACTCATTCCTTTTATTGAAGATTATTGGCACCAAATATAGCCTGTGGTACAATCTGTGATCCCCAAGTTCCGTAACTGTGCGGAGATAGACATTGAGTTAATAATCTTACCTGTGAAGTCATCATTCTACACAGGAGTGAGGAGCTAGCCTCAGATCCACTATACTCAGTTGTAAGCCCACCTTCTTCATCCTCTGCCCCTCCGTTGGTTGTAGAAAAAGACCTCTACTAAAAAATTCAGGTTGTCTCCCACTATCTATATCAGTCAGCATTACACCTCCAGTAGATAGACAGGGCCCCCAGTGGAGAGATGAGGCTACCCAAAAATATTTGACCCAGAATCCAGGAACAAAATGGAGTAAAGAAAATACAGGGACAAAAATGGAGCAGAGACTGATGGAAAGGCCATCCAGTGATTGGTCCAACTTGAGATCCATCCCATGGGCAGGCACCAAACCCTGACACTATTACTGATGCCATGTTGTGCTTGCAGACAGGAACATGGCTATCCTCTGAGAGGCTCTACCAGTAGCAGATTGAGACAGATGCAGATACTTACAGTTAAGTGATGGACTGAGGTTGGGGACCCCTATGGAAGTTAGGGGAAGGACTGAAGAAGCTGAAGGTGATGACAACCCCATAGGAATTACAACATTATCAACTAACTAGGACCCTTCAGAGCTCCCAGAGACTAAGTCATCAACCAAAGAGCATATACGTGCTGGTCAGTGGTCTCTGGCACATATGTAACAGAAGACTGCCTTGTTTGGCTTCTATGGGAAAGGATGCACCTAATCCTGTAGAGACTTGATACCCCCACTGAAGGGAAATGCTGGCCGTGGGTCAGGGTGTGGGTGGGTGGGTG